CATTCAAGGCTTAATCTTTGGTGTTTTTTCCTAATTAAGGGGGGGGAACTAGGTCAACTTTAATTTAACATCCTTTTTTTTTTTTTTTTGATGTCCTGTATGCATGTCGTATACATCCGTGTTCCTGATTTAGCCAATTTAGCTGTATAAGAACATTTAAGAACATGTCGCATTATCGTTTGATATTGTTAGATCACATTAAGGTCATCATAACATACATATTATGTTTAGGGCCCTAACCTAACAGTAATAATTCTGATGACACAAACAATTGTCAAACAAAAAGATGGCATGTCCAAAATATTAAAAAAACATCACATCATCAATAGAAAAGCACATACTGGACATGACCAACTTAGAGAGGAAGCGTGTACTGCATATATGGGGGCACACGGCAAGACCTAACCTAATGTTACAAGTAAATGTTTTAAAGTAAATTAATTTAAAAATAAAGTAAATTCATTTAAAAATTTTAAGTATTTATTTTATGTGAAATAAAGAAAAGAGTATACTCCTTTATAAAGGAGTAATCAGATTACTTTTTCAACCACTTCCTGTGGAGTCGGGTCCTGAGTTTGATTCCCAGGGGAACCACATGCTTCCTAGCGCTTGCTAGGGGCAGCCTGCTAACACAACAAGGACGGGATCAGCACAGTATACATTTATTTTCACTGCGGCAACGCTTACCAACCATCGTAGTAGTTGCCTTCCAAGCAGCAACTTGGAGCATCGACCAACAGAGCAGCTGTTTGTGGCTTCTGTGGTCCCCGCAAACGTAGGAGGGTGCGATGCGTGGGATTATTACGGTCGCTCGCCTTTCTGCTGTCATAAAGTGAAATCGGAATGGAGCATCGACCAACAGAGCAGCTGTTTGTGGCTTCTGTGGTCCCCGCAAACGTAGGAGGGGTGGGAGCTGCATGGTGCGATGCGTGGGATTTATTACGAACGGTCGCCTTTCTGCTGTCATAAAGTGAAATCGGAACTGCAGGTTTTTGCGACACATTTCCAGTTTCCAGAGTTTGACAATTGAAAAAAACACCGACCCAGCTGTCCAAAAACCGATAATTAAACAGTCGGCACGCACTGGCAGAGATGCCAATATTTGTACCAAACCCCTGGCATGTCAATTTCTCATAATACGTCTCCTTTTACCACTAAAAAAAAAAAAATATAAAACCTTACACAGTGTGCCCACTTCTCACAGAGATTATACAACATCCCACAGACAGCAGCGGAGATAGCGGGTCTGTTATTAAAAAAAAATCGGACTCCTCGTGCTTGTCTTATCAGCCATTATTAAAATTAGAATGGAAATCGAGCACAGTCGTGAGCAGCGACTAAGACGAAAATCCACTGTGCGGGAGTGTGTGTGGGCACGTTTGTTTATGGGGGTTGGGGGTGTAAACATGCTCAGTTGTACATGTTTTTGTTTAATATATATGTATATATATTAAATTGCGAAAATGCATCGTCATTTCTGGGACATTTTGACTTTTGGGCTCTGAGGTTAAACACTTTTTTTTTTCAGGTTTAGTATAGGTTTTGTGTTAGGATTTGGTTTTATTTGGAACAAGGAGGTGTTGAGGTTAAACACTAGGGTGCAATGTTTTTTGTTTTTTTTTTTTACTTTAAAAAAATACCTCACAACAAACAGTGTCCACTGAGAATGGAAGGCAAATGCGTCTTAAAAATTCCGCCCTCGTCTTTGATCCAGGTATAATCTGATATGAGGAAGGTGTCACCTCCCATTACCCTCAGATGAAGACGTTAACATTTCTTCGCCGTCCTCCTTCTGTAAAAAATGAACATACACATGTCCTCCGCATGCAGAGGTATTGCAATCACACGCCTCATTTCTTTTCAGATGTGTGCTGGCATCTTTGCCCTTTGGCATCATCTCCTTCTCTGATGCTTTGTTGTGTCTGAGCGAGTGTAGGAACATACGCTCTCCAGATTGTGGGTTGTGGGTGGAATACAAATTCGAATAGAGATTTTGGCATAAAAATATCCTCAGCTTTTGAAGACAGTCCGCAAAGGGCTGAGCTCCTTCTTCCTGCACAGAGAAAAAAAAAAAAAAAAAACATTCTTTAAGCCCACAGAAATATGTGCCTGTAGGGGAATACTGTAATTTTTTTTTTTTTTTTTTTAGAATATTCTAGCATTTTTTGATAATATTGTTGACACTGCCTGTATATCAAGCTAATGCCAGCAGCATGGAGAGGATAAAAACAATCAGTCGGAGTGTGACTCTGAGCTTTTCTTTTAAGATGAGTCTATTATTACCCAGTATGTCGTGCAGTACTTCGGGTACATGCGTCTCGGATTTGACGTACTTTATCGAGCCTGGGTGACTTTTAGCAGTCGCTTGTGCTCGAAGAAACAGATTTTTTGGGTTTGGATGAGTACCTGTGTATTATTATTCTGTAACATTACACGAGCGGTCACGTTTTTTCTGAAAACTGGAAGCTGCCTGAGCTGCAGTTGTACTGCAGTAACACTGCCTTGAAGACCACAGCTTTGCTGTGTGGTTTGACAATATAATGTTTTTTTTTTTGTTTTTTTTTTTCAAACCTCATATTTGACGTTATCACATTTCTCCGTCTTAGATACCTGAAGCCTGACGTTCAAAAGAAATCCAAGCACAAAACAGCGGTAATCAAAAAGACTCTTAATCCAGAGTTTAATGAGGTGAGTCTTTATCCGTGTGCGTGCGTGTGTGTTTGTTTGCATACAAATATGAAAACTGGTAAACTGTCGTCATAGGCACGGCTGCAAACCAGCTCTCTGTTGACTGTTCTCTTACCCTTTTTTACATATAATTGAGATCTTACTACTTCATTACGTCTTGATCCAGGAGTTCTTCTATGAAATCTCCTTCTCTGAGTTAGCCACAAAGACACTGGAGGTCACGGTGTGGGACTATGATCTGGGGAGGTCCAACGACTTCATAGGTAAGTGGACGTCACTGACGAGCAACCGGCTGGTTTCCATCAGTTTAACGCAATGCTTGGTTTTTTTTTTTTCCCGATAATCGCTATTACCCATGATGCATCGCGCCGTCGGCCATGTTGTGCGGCAAAAGTCGCGAGTATGTAGACGCAAACAGTCGATAATGACAACAAAAGACAAGTATAATAAATGGCCGGAGGGAGATCAGACGAAATTGTTGTTCAGAACAGACTTTGTAAGAAAAGTTGCCAAAAAACGCCCAACGTATTAAACAATACACTAAAAACATCTATATTTTGTTATAAATATATATAATATATATGCGTACATACAATGCTTAGCATAGGTATTCACCCCCCTTGGATGTTTTACACTTTTATTGCTTTCATAAATCAATCATGGTTAATAATATTTTGCTTTTCTTCACACAAAAATTTATTAAAAAATAATCTTTAATGTCAAAGTGAAAACAGAGTTCTATAAAGTAATGTGTATGAAACCAAATTCTATGACAAGACAAATAATTGTTTGTATAATTATTCACCTCCTTCAAGTCAGTATTTAGTAGATGCACCTTTAGCTGAAATCACAGCACTGAGTCTCCATCACTCTTGTACATCTGCACACTACACTCCATTCTTCTTAGCAAAACTGCTCAAGTTCTGTCAGGTTGTGTGTTCATCAGACATGAACAGCCCTAAACAAGTCCAGCCACAGATTCTCTACAGGACTGAGGTCTGGGCTTTGACTCGGCCACTCCAGAACATTTACCTGGTTCTTTTTAAACCCTTCCTGTGTAGCTTTTGCTTTGGATCATTGTCTGACTGGAAAGTAAATCTTCTTCCAAGTCGTAGTTCTCTAGTTCTTTTGCAGACTGAAGATTGCCCCCCAGGATTTTGGTGTATTTGGCAGCATTCTGCCAAGTACACCCTCCATCTTCACAAGCCTTCCAGAGCCTGCTGCTGAGAAACATCCCCACAGTGGAGATGGTGATGTGCAGTGTTTGGTTTCTGCCAAACACAACATCTTGTCTGATGGCCAAAAGTCTCAACGTTGGTCTCATCAGACTAAAGAGTCTTCATCCATTTGACCATGGAGTCGTCCACATGCCTTTGTCCAGATCTAATGTGAATTTTCTTCAACAGTGGCTTTCTCATTGACACCCTCCCATAAAGCTTTGAAACCGGTGAAGAAGCCAGGCCGCAGTTTCTATATGCACAGTCTCTCCCACCTCAGCAGCTGAAGCTTGTGGTTTCTCTCACTGGTCTCCTTCTTTCACGGTCACTCAGTTTATGAGGGCGACCTGATCTTGGCAGATTCACACCTGTGCCATAGTCCTTCCATTTCTTGATGATTGATTTCACTGAACTCTGGGGGATGTTCAGTGCCTTGGAAATGTTTTGTTATCCATTCCCAGAATTGTACTTTTCAAGAAGCCTTTCTTTGATTTGCTTGGAGTGTTCGTCTGTCTTCATGGTGTAATGGTAACCAGGAATCCTGATCCACCAGTCTCTGGACTCTTCAGACTCTGGTGTTTTATACCTCACCCACATCACTCAGGTCGACTTCTTTTCACTAATTGTGAGACTGTTGGCCTCTATTGACCTGACCCTTCTTTAATTAGACCATTACATTTAAAAGGGGGGGGGTGAATAATTATGCAAACTATTAAATGTCTTTATATAATTTTGTTTCATCAACATTACTTAACTCTATTTTTTGTTTTCACTTTGACATTAAAGAGTTTCCTCCCATAAATGTTTATGTGAAAAAAGCCAAATTTTATTGACCATGATTGATTCATGACAGCAATAAAAGTGTAAAACATCCAGGGCGGTGAATACCTATACGAGGCACTGTATCTGTACTTTTTTTTTCTCTTAAATTTAGTGGATGCGGCTTATAATCAGGTGCGCTCAATAGTCCGGAAATTATGGTAAGTGAGTTTTGAGTTGGAACTTGAAGTTAGGCAGGAGGTGTTATGGTACGCAGATGTTGTTGGAGTGCGTCCCACGCTAGACAACAGGTGGGCAGGTGGTGATGGTGAAGTAGTCAAGGTGTGAGGTTTTTAAGAGTTTCCGTCGATGATGACACGCGACTTTTGACCTCGTAGGTATCTGTAGAATGAGAGAAAACAACAGACATAAATGTGAAACTGACCATGGACTTAGGTTTTTGACTGAAAAACTTTTGCACAAAACGTCATTTTTACTATTACTATGACAGACTTTACACGCTGGAAGTACCCACCTTTGTAGTCTCTGTAAATGACTGTAGGTTTATGGCAGGTTTAGGATTTACAACAGTGGTTCTCAAACTGTGGTATGCGTACCACCAGTGGTACGTGAGCACTCTCTAGTGGTGCGTGGGGAAAATTCATATTTTCACATTTACATTTTCAATTGAATAAATCTGAAACATACCATACACAATTAATACAACTTTTAAACATAAACATCTGTCTAAACATCTCTCCTGGTGGTGGAAGCTAAAAGTGAAGGCCTGTGCTGCTATATTCTAGTGTTGGTCATCATGGTGGGACTCAGAGAGCTCAATGTTTTCTCAGGTGGTACAGAGTATAAAAAGTTTGAGAACCACTGATTTACAAGATCTTAATGTATTTCCTTGAAGATCCTTGAGTCTTAATTGCTAATTCCAGGACTCCTTGAATAGAATGTCTACTTTGGCAATTACTCATTAGGGGAGACAGGGGAAGGAAACAGATCATGGAAATAGATGAAGTAAATAAAGTGGGAGGATAATTGACAACCGCTCAACTAATACTGGAGCTGCCTGCTGATGTATCACCATTGGTACTGTCATCATTTGCAGTATTTACTTTAGCCATACTGCTAGCTGTCAGTCGTGCGGAGTAGTTCTGTACACCGTCCTCCCTACAATTTAATGTACGAACCTGCGTCTGTGTTGTGTTTGCTGCATCACTGAGCACTCTTCCACACAACCCTCCCGAAAGTCAGGGAAAATTCACTTAGGTCTGATTTACTGCCCAATTTATCTCAAATCCTGGCCGATGCAGATCTAATTTCAGCCTCTTAGTACCACAAACAGGAAGGAGAAGCAAGTCGATAAACAGCCCTCTGTCACTGTCGGAGGGAGTGAAGTGCTGTGGTGATGGTGATGGTGATGGTGAGGCAGGGAGGGGGAGACAGAATCTGGTGACACAGGCAGGGAGGGGAGGAGGGAGAAGTCATTGTCCGTCTCAGGTCCCTTTAGTCTACTTCCTGTTTCCATAAGAAGTGACTTAATCTGTGCAGCTTAGCAGGAAAGTATAAAAATAAGACAATTTAAAATGAGGTCAATTTGATTCAGCTAGCACAGGCATGGGCAAACTAAGGCCTGGGGGCCCACCAAACTTTTTCAAATTATAATTAATTTATATTATCATTATACGTCTGCCTTTTCCCTGCAATACCCATGTTTCCCCAATAGATGGCATAGAAAATGATAAAAGCATTTTATCATTTAAGCCTTTATGCATGACTTTTTCGTGTCATTTATCTTAGTTCACACGAACGCTCCATCTATCTGCTCCTGACCCGGCCCCCCTGTCAAATTTTACAACACTTGTGGGCCACAAGTCAAAAAGTCTGCCCATGCCTGAGTTAGCAGATGTACTGTAAAAGTGAGTACTGGAGGAAACTGTCATGGCTGACAGCAGAAGCAGGTGGTTGGAGGAAATGGCTAATAGAAACAACATGTGAAATTAGCTTCACAGTTGTCTTCTCAATAAATGAAAAAAAAAAAATCAATGTTGTGATGTTACGATGAATCAAGAGAGAGGACAGTTGTGCGATAATGTGTGTGCGTTTCACGTTTGAATGGAAGCCACGTTGATTACAGGGCTTTTCACTCTTGTGAGATTTCATTTTCAGCCCAGTAAAAATGTCACAGTAAATCCCCGTAGAACACAGCGTGACTTAAGAGTCAGGAAACACACCGTAGATTTCATCTGACAAAGTGCTGACTCTTTACACACGGTTTGCTAAGTCAATTTCATGACTTCTAGGATTGCAGCCGCAGATCTCCCAACTCCTCGTTGTTCTCAGGGGTATAGAATTTTACCGGGGAAATTTAATTATACCTGACAGGAACACAGCATGGATACGTTTGTCTTTAACATTGCAGTGTAATTGTTATGCTTTACAAACCTTTTATGACAAATGTACTTTCCACAGGGAGGAACGTATGTGGCTGTTTGGCTCAGGGAGAGATCACTAATAGCCTCCTGCATCACAAACAGAACTCATGACACCTAACTTTGCGGTAAGGAACTACAAGTTGAAACCAAGTGGGAAAAAAATGAAATATCAATTTAAAACTGTAAATATACAATTTAAATAATTCATTTGCACATCTGTCTTTTTGCTCCCCAGCCCCTAATCAATCATGGTCTGGCTATAACTCCATTGCTGTGATGATCTGGTTTGGTCCCCTGCTCCACGTGTTTGTAAGTACATGATGCATGTTACATGTTTAGGCCTTCTTCCGTTTTGCACAGCCTACTTATGCGTTCTTGGTTTTTCGCGTTAGAAAAAGTTAGAAAAAAACAGCGAAAAAAAAAAAATTAGCTCAGTATCACGTAATTACATGTTAACTTTGACGTGATACGTTTCACTTTATTTCGTTATCACTGTTATTTCGTGATAACTTTCATGTAATTTCGTTATACCTTTCATGTTATTTAATGATAACTTTCACGTTCTTCAGCACAACCCCATGCGTTTTAAAACGCTTCTGTAAGAAATGACACTTACTGACATACTGCAAGCAAAATAGATTTTTATTGATAAAATAAAATTGATCTCACAGTACACTGTTAGTATATAGAACACATTGTTTTTACAATCTTAGATTTTTTTATGGGAAAATTGTGTAATATATATTCATAAAAAAATCATATTAATCTGATGACAGTGTGTCATTTATTAGTGATTTACTAAGAAAATATAATTATCACAAACAGGATGTAGATGAAGAAGTGAAGCCTAGAAGGAAGTGAATGTAACGTTTCTGATTATTCTAAAGCTGTCTACTTGCCTTCTTGTAGGTCTGCTACGCTGTGGGTTACAACTTGAGGAAACAAAACAGACAAGGACCAACTACTCACTAAGGAGCATGTGTGTCCAAACTCTAAAAGAGAGTTTTAACAGCCAGCAAAGTGAGCAGCAGGGTCGTCGCAGTGGCCACGGGCTGACCCGGAGCACGGCTCTGCAGGATTCTACCCTCATCTGTAAGAGAACACAGAAAAGTCCCAGATGAATGTGTATCCTTGATTGTTGATTCTGGTCTTATGCTGCACTCTTCTGGTATATTTAAAAACAACACTTATTGTTCTTTAATATATATATTTTAAACTTTACCTGCACTTTAAGACAATTATTTTAGAGTCTACATTTATGTTTTTAATTCTGTATCTAACGTTTCTGTATGAGTCCCAGCCTTAACATTTACAGAGAGCAAAGCAAATACCTGCTTCCCAGATGACTGGTCCCAAGGAGATGGCTACAGTGTCATGGTGAGAGAGGTCCCTCGCAACTCTGGTGTGTCCAGGATAGCAATGCTGCAGGAGAAGTTTTTACCATTATTAATATCATTGCTATTTTTATCATAACTGTCTTTAAACACAGAACACATAGTGGTTAGCAACTACTGTTGAATTCCTTTAAAATGTTACATTTTGTCATTATAAGTAGTTTGTCAGTTATAAAATTGTACTTTGCTACAGATGTAACAGTAATACTGTAACGCAGGGGTGTCAAACATACGGCCCGGGGGCCAAAACCGTCCCGCTAGGTAGTTCAATCTGGCCCACTTGATGAATTTTGATAATAAAAAAAATAGAGATGACAATTAGATCATAATTTTTTTGTAAAATTATATTTTGTTACAAATGAATTAATATTAATAAATAACCAATATACTTCTTTTTATGAAAACACAGAGGAAAAACATTGTTAATTATAGTTAATTATGTTATGTTTGTAGTGGTCTGGCCCACCTGGCATCTAATCACGTTGTATGCGGCCCGTGAAACAGAATGAGTTTGACACCCCTGCTGTAACGGGTAAATAATAAAAATAATTGAAACCCACAATGGAAATTTAAAGTGTGAGTCTTTGCAACCCCACAGGCTGCTTTAAGTAACATCTATGTAAGATTTTGTTATTTGAAAATGTGTTATTTTACCAGTATCCCTCCCAGGATCTTCGGTTACTTTCATCCCGCGCTTGACCTTGACTGAGTGAATGTCATTCCACCCGTCACAGTCCTAGTCCTTGTGTGTCTCAGGTGGCTGTGACATTAGCGGTGGGATCAGAGGTTGGACTTGAGAGCAGTAGTGACTTCCGTCATATTGGGAAACCTTTCCTAATGGGCACAGTTGCACTGGGTAAGAATCCATCCATCATGTTTTTTTCTATTTGACGTCTTCTTTGATTGTCTTTTTTTTTTAGTTTGATAATATGAAGGGTTTATTACAAATAATATGGTCAGGTGGTTTATATGTTCCAACTCTAATGTTACTCACTATTCTGAAATTTAAAAAAGGTAAGCACAAATATTGAAATGACATTTGTTATTGACTTGACTTGACTTTTCAATCTGGAAATTTCTATTCATGAAAAGAAAAT